ACAAAAATATTCTTTAAACCAATTCACGCCCACTTTTAAAAAATGTTTTTAATTTTTTTTTTAATTCCAACATTTCCCTTTTCAATAATGCCACCATCTAATCACAAGGTGTGGTTGATTGTACCACCGTTTTTCATTCGAAACCTAAACATACATATCAAATTACAGGTTAAATACCTGCTACGAACTTGTTGAGTTTTGTTGGCGGAGTCATTGATTTGTAATGGCCCTGAACTTCAATATTGAATTTTTGGTATTAGGTGGCAATTTGTAGTACATGACCTCCCCCCCAGAGATAAAGATACAGAATATTTTCCGAACTTTACCACCTATTTAACAAATTTGTTTACAATTCCTCCCCCACCACCGATATTATTACTTTGTCCTAATTTTCTTCCTTGAGGGCTAATTTGTTTGATAAAACTTTTCGTTTCGTCTAGTCGAGCATATTTTTTGACCCACAAGGCGGGAATATACAAATATATTTTTAGGACTATCGGTAAGCATGATTTTTTACAGAAACTATAAATAGAGAGAAGCTCAAAATATAAATAGGAAATTTTTTAAAATATATCTTTTAAGGACATCAAATTTGCGTAAATTCAAAAAAATAAGGACTATAAATAAGCGCGGATTTAATAAAAAAAATATTTTCCAAGGGGTCCAAAGAGGCGTCGATTTATTAAAAAACAGTTTTCAAGGGGTCAAAAGAGACGTTGAGGAGCGTGTATTTATTAAAATATAATTTTTAAGAATCCAGAGAGGCGTGTATTTATTAAAAATATTTCCAAGGGACACTATTTAGGCGTGGTTTTATTAAAAAATGTCAAGGAATCCAAAGGGGCGAGGAATTATTTCAAAAATATTGTTCATGGGACCCAAAATAGGGTTGGTTTTATTAAAAAAATGTAAAGGGATCCAAAGAGACAAGGATTTATTTAAAAAAAATCAATGGATCCATAGAGGCGTGGATTTATTAAAAAAGTCAAGGGTCTATAGGGGCGTGGATTTATTAAAAAATCAAGGGTCTATAGGGACGTGGATTTATTAAAAAATCAAGGGTCTATAGGGGCGTGGATTTATTAAAGAAAATCAAGAGGCGTGAATATATTAAAAAATCAACAGATGAATCCTAACAGACGTCGCTTTTTAAAGGATCAGTAAAATGAAATTGGATCCATAAATATGTCATTTGGCAACCTATACTAAATTATTAATTTGGTCAGATATAGAAGCTATATCTAAATCTGAACCGATGTCAACGATTTCAGGAAACCTAACACTCATCATTCTAGACCTAATTCATTACGCTGTGTCAAATTTCGTGCAAACCGAAAGATATATAGGGAGCTATATCTAGATCTGAACCGATTTTCAGGAAACTTAATACACATCATTCTAGACCTAATTCATTACGCTGTACCAAATTTCGTAGAAATCGAGAGATATATAGGGACTTTGGTGCACCATTTACTATAAATCGGACGAAAATATATTTGGGAGCTATATATAAATCTGAAACGATTTTTTTCAATTTCAATAGGGTTCGTCCTTGGGCCAAATGAATGAGCTGTGCCAAATGTCATCCAATTCGAATAATAAATGCGACTTGTACTTTGTTCACAATTTAACATGGACAGACAGACAGACGGACGGACATGCATAAATCGACTTACAAAGTGATTCTATGCATATTCTCAAAAGAAACCATGTGTCTATCTCGTTTCTTTTTGCCTGTTACAAACATATGCACAAGGACATAATACCCTGTACCACAGTGCTGTAAAGGGTATAAAAATCAAGGGGTCGAAAGGGCTATAAATAGGAGTGGATATAAGAAAATATTTTAACCGACTTTAAGTAGGCGTCGATTTTTTAAAATTTAGTTTAATAAATGTAAAATTTTATTATGCGGTTGTCCTTTTGTATTGTGTGCTTTTTTTGCATTACTGCTAGTTGTTGTGGTCACCTCAGTAAATATTTGATTGTTGACATTTGTATTTTTCATCATGCATGACAATTTTATTTTCTTCTACGCAAATAAATTAATTAAGAATTTCGTTTTGCATTATTACATGCTCAGCCTGCTTACCTGAGGCTGGAATGTTATTTTCTTAAGCGAAGTTGTGGGGTCTTCGCCTCGTCAACTGGGTATAAATTTAAGATGAAGCGGAGGTCTAAATGTATTTCAACTCATGTGATATTTCGAGTGTATTGAAATGTGTAGCTAAGCCAACATCCGATTGTAACACATCCGCTTGGTAGTTTTTTTAATACAAAAATATTTAAAACATGTTTAATATATTTGTTGTTGGTCATTTCCAATGGGAAAATGTGTTGCAATTTTATTTCCAAATACGAATTCCGAATGAGAAGAAAAAATAAAAAAAAAATGTGTGTAGCCTTCCCAACGGACTTTTTTTTGAAATATATTTGCGGAAAAATTGTATGCCACAGGGCCTAAAATCTAAAAGCACTAAATTGTCCACTATTTTATTATAGGAAAATTTTTTCAGAATTCGGTCTAATTGTAGACATGTAAAAATACATTGTATACACTTGACCGAATTTATTGCTTTGCCGTGACCATGAACTTCAAATGCTGACGTTTTCTTTTTGCCGTCAATTTTTGTGACACCTACCTTTAAAGAAATGGGAGATATTTGCTCAACTTTTGATAGCTTTGATTGTGGTATTGGGTTAATTTTTGTTTACTCTACCACCTCTACAATAATGTTTTATATTAATGTTGCTTTTTTCCGTTAAGCTGCAATTTATTTTATAAAAATTATAATTTTGTGACTTTGTTGGGAGTTTCGTCTGGTCAGGTAATGGCATTGGGAGAAATTATTGGGATTTTTATACTTTGATTTTTTTTTATTTTAATTTTTATTTGAGATCCTCGTCTTTGGCAGGGACCAGCTTGAAATTAAAATTGAATGAATTGTCACATCGGTTGGAAAATAAGAATAGAACCATCAAAATACATTTATGGAGACTGGATCTTTATATGTGGGAGGCTATTGCAGAAGATGGCCGGATATTTATAATTTTTGTTAGGAATTCATTTGCGTCCTTAATTTATTGAGTCAATTATCATAAATTGTGATGTTTCATTCTTTCAACATTTTAGGCTTTTATTCCGATCATGATTAAATTTTATAAAGTCACCGGTGAAAATTTCGAGATGTTTGTATCACCCTATGATAGATGTGTTATTTATGGTAGCCCAGTTAAACCTGCGACTAATACAAATAGCAGTAATATTTGATAAATCTCCTGAAAAATAAATATATATTTTAAAATATGTAAGTTCATATTTTTTTCAGGGCCACTGATATTTTTTTTCTTTTTAATTGTATGTGATGAAATTTTCTGTCACAATGAAACAAATTCCATAAATCCCATTGCCACAGTGTGGCGAATGAGGAATGTCAGCGTGCACAATTTTCAGTAATCATACGCCACCATACATTGTACAGTCGATATCGGATATAAGCACATCTCATATAAGAAAGACTCGCATATAAGAAAGATTATCAAAAACACCGAGCCTTTTTACATCTCATCAGTGCTTCGCTGATATAAGAAACGCTGATATAAGAAATATTTTTCAAACACCAAAGCTGACAAAGGTATTAGAAATCGTTTCATATAAGAACATATGTAAGATTGTTGGCCAATTTATTAACATTGAAAATGTTTTAAAAAATAAAATAAAATATTTTTTAATTCTATTTGAAAAATTTTATCCATATGAATAGAAACATATGCATCTATTTTTAGTCAAACTATGAACTGATTTTAATTTAGTAATTTTGTATTTTTATATGCGTATGTACGCATATAAGAAACAACTTTCATGCATCCGATAAATCCCTATATGAAAAAACGAATATAAGAAAGAAATCGCCGGTTTTTTTTTGATTTTCTTATATCCGGTATCTACTATATAGGTGGTTGATTGTATGTTTCTGCAGATCAACAGCAAGCCTGTTTTCATGGTAAAGTTATAAAAATAAGTATGTGAGAGGTTCTTTTGGGAGAAGTTGTGGACTTGGATTTTACCTAAAAAAATATTTTTTATGGGACCCACTGGCCTGAAAATTATTTAAAAATTTCTTAAGGTTATTTAAGGCATGTGCTTAAGCAAGAATTGCTATTTAAAATAGTTAAATAGTTAGCATTTGATTTGAAAGGCCATAGCCGTTGAAATCTGTTCACTCCTTTTTATTACATCCTTGTAATAGTATGAGACTGCCAGATTTCAACGGCCTTTTGTTTACATTTTTGAGTTTGCGCCACCTTTTGGCATCTTTGGGTTATTATTCTTATTATTAGTACTTGAACTCTCGTTGTTACCTACTGGCCACACATATTGTTGTGATCGCGCTTAAATAGTAAGCCATCGTACATATTGTTGTACAATAAAGGTAATATTGTTTACCAATAAATATATATATCGGCATTGGTCGAACCTTTTAATAATAAACTCTTGTGTTTTTATTTATTATCTTTTATTTTTGCTCACGAGTGCGTATTGGACGCACTGACTCTATCGGGAGAATCGATTGCATTGTACCTGCCAACCACCCAAGTCCCTATAGTGCGGACTTAACAGCATGGATGGTACACATTATAGGCTTATGATTTATTAAAAAAAAAAACAACTAGGCCATTAAATTTCGTAAATTCCAATTTACAATTGGCGTATGAGAAATTTTAATATTTTGCAACACTCATACGCTATATTGTATTGTAAAGGTGGTTACGCGGTGTTACAATCGTGGCAAGTTGCCAAATGGGTGAATTTCGCTCGAAACCTATGACATCATTCGCTCGCCCCATCGAGGGATAGTCACTCAAAACACGAGGGAAAAAATTTTTGAAAAATTATGATATATTTAGAATATTTTTTAAAAGACCAAAACGGGCGTGGATTTATTAAAGAATATCTTTCAAAGGATGGAAATAGAGATTGTTGAAAACTCTAATTTCAGAAGTAACACGACAACAATGGTCCTTAAAGGAACTGAAGACAATCAGAATATTTGGTTGTCCCAGCAAGAAAAACATCAAAAAAAACCACGACGAGCATGAAGTAGATGACGGAGAAGAGATACCGCTAGCCAAGCGTAAAATCAAAACCGAAGAAGACGAATATAATGAAGAAAGTGAACACAATGCGATTCTGGAACAAGAGGATGCTACAACAACAGAGGTGGTACATCATCATCAACAACCACCATCCCATCGGTCAAGTACACAACAACAAATGCAAAACACCGAAATCATTGAGGTGCAGCAACATCACCAATCGGTTCCGTCCTGTGGTAAGCCGACATATATCTTGCAAGTTATGCCGGAAAGTTGGCCCTTGCTTATGGCGACATAATAGGTGGCAATGCAGCTCCACCACAAAAAGTATTTTGCGGAAAAGTAGCAGATTTACCTTACAACAAAAATTCTTTCATAAACCAGATGCAGGAGATGGATCTCCAAAATATCAAAAGATAAAACAAAGGCTAAAGGAAATGGCTCCGCTGAAACAACAAACTACTGGAGGTGAATCTCCAAAATATCAAGAACTAGTACAAATGTTAAATAGACCAATAGGAAGGGCTACCTCGCAACCACTACCACATTCACCGCCAGACATCTACAACAGCAGAAAGAGCAGCGATCTAGCAGCGTTGAGACCTTTTCTAAAGCTAAGATGATGCAGATTGAAAAAAGTGAAGTGAAGACAGCCCACCGATAACTGCCGAGATATAAGCAACTGCATCCAATCCAAAAGCGACGGAAGGATGCAGAAATAACGACAAAGGAAATAGAAAATGATGACGCGAATTTAAGAATTTTATATTTACATAGAAGAATATTTTACTTATAACAATATCTGTATTTTCAATGTTCAATTCATATTCAAAAAAGAACTGTTTAGATTAAGAAACATGTCACCAATCACTTCCCACGGGCACAACTTATCAAGACTAATATTTGCCGGCCGGGAGAATGTTCATAAAAATATGAACATGCTCGGCTTCATTCTTTTTATTTTATGATCACTTCACATTTATGCATTTCATAAATGATGTTCAAGTGGTTTTATGGTAAGTGGCTAATGCAGTCACAAGGTCTGTGTGTGTGCGCTGATAAGAAAGAATCAATAGAAGTCCACACACAAAGATATTGATGCGCTCATTTGATGTACACAAATGAACGCAACCCCCATGTGCACTGTGAGAACTGATAGTTGTTATGTGTTTAAGATAGGCTAAGTTAGATTAGTTTATGTAGTACCTAAGTCAGAATATTTCATAAATAGATTAGAGTTGAAACTACAATCGAACAAGAAGGTTGGGTTTCAACATCTCATCTTTTAACAAAGGACCAAAAGAGGCGTGTTCCTTTTGTTTTGCTTATGATCATTGGCATTACTGAGCTAAATATGAATTTGTTTGCCAGTTATTTTGTCTTTGTCTGCAGTTCAGAAAATTTATCAAAATCTTGGCAAATACTATTTTTGGCAAGGACGTAAAAATTAGAAATTAAGACAAAAAAGTGTAGAGAAATATAAGCAAAACAGTCATGACTATTTTATGACCATTTTGTTCATGCAATTTTAATACAAGTTATAATATGTAACATAACAATTATAAAAATAGACAAAAGTCTTTGGCAGTGACCATGAAATATTCGTAAATTCCAAACAAGTGGCCAATAAGAAGAACTACAGCTTCAAAAGAGAGGCCTGCAGTCTCATAAATTCCTATGTTGTGGTGCAGTGTGACGCATGATAAATATAAACTTTAATATTTCCCAATATTCATACGCCACGGAATGGGAAGTTGAGTGTCTACGTCTTGTCTGTAGGTCACACAAATCTGTCACAATCTTGGCAGGCGACGTTTTTTGGCAATTGTTAAAATTAAAAAAAAATCTTCTGTTATTTTTTTGTCGTGACAACAACTATGAACACTCTGGAACAATATTCTTTAATAAATCCACGCCTCAGTTGGCCATTGAAAAATATTCTTTAATAAATCCAGGCCTCAGTTGGCCCTTGAAAAATATTCTTTAATAAATCCACGCCTCAGTTGGCCCTTGAAAAATATTCTTTAATAAATCCACGCCTCAGTTGGCCCTTGAAAAATATTCTTTAATAAATCCACGCCTCAGTTGGCCCTTGAAAAATATTCTTTAATAAATCCACGCCTCAGTTGGCCCTTGAAAAATATTCTTTAATAAATCCACGCCTCAGTTGGCCCTTGAAAAATATTCTTTAATAAATCCACGCCTCAGTTGGCCCTTGAAAAATATTCTTTAATAAATCCACGCCTCAGTTGGCCCTTGAAAAATATTCTTTAATAAATCCACGCCTCAGTTGGCCCTTGAAAAATATTCTTTAATAAATCCACGCCTCAGTTGGCCCTTGAAAAATATTCTTTAATAAATCCACGCCTCAGTTGGCCCTTGAAAAATATTCTTTAATAAATCCACGCCTCAGTTGGCCCTTGAAAAATATTCTTTAATAAATCCACGCCTCAGTTGGCCCTTGAAAAATATTCTTTAATAAATCCACGCCTCAGTTGGCCCTTGAAAAATATTCTTTAATAAATCCAATAAATCCACGCCTCAGTTGGCCCTTGAAAAATATTCTTTAATAAATCCACGCCTCAGTTGGCCCTTGAAAAATATTCTTTAATAAATCCACGCCTCAGTTGGCCCTTGAAAAATATTCTTTAATAAATCCACGCCTCAGTTGGCCCTTGAAAAATATTCTTTAATAAATCCACGCCTCAGTTGGCCCTTGAAAAATATTCTTTAATAAATCCACGCCTCAGTTGGCCCTTGAAAAATATTCTTTAATAAATCCACGCCTCAGTTGGCCCTTGAAAAATATTCTTTAATAAATCCACGCCTCAGTTGGCCCTTGAAAAATATTCTTTAATAAATCCACGCCTCAGTTGGCCCTTGAAAAATATTCTTTAATAAATCCACGCCTCAGTAATAAATCCACGCCTCAGTTGGCCCTTGAAAAATATTCTTTAATAAATCCACGCCTCAGTTGGCCCTTGAAAAATATTCTTTAATAAATCCACGCCTCAGTTGGCCCTTGAAAAATATTCTTTAATAAAAATCGCCTCAGTTGGCCCTTGAAAAATATTCTTTAATAAATCCACGCCTCAGTTGGCCCTTGAAAAATATTCTTTAATAAATCCACGCCTCAGTTGGCCCTTGAAAAATATTCTTTAATAAATCCACGCCTCAGTTGGCCCTTGAAAAATATTCTTTAATAAATCCACGCCTCAGTTGGCCCTTGAAAAATATTCTTTAATAAATCCACGCCTCAGTTGGCCCTTGAAAAATATTCTTTAATAAATCCACGCCTCAGTTGGCCCTTGAAAAATATTCTTTAATAAATCCACGCCTCAGTTGGCCCTTGAAAAATATTCTTTAATAAATCCACGCCTCAGTTGGCCCTTGAAAAAAAAAATTCCACGCCTAATAGTTAACCCCACGCCTCAGTTGGCCCTTGAAAAATATTCTTTAATAAATCCACGCCTCAGTTGGCCCTTGAAAAATATTCTTTAATAAATCCACGCCTCAGTTGGCCCTTGAAAAATATTCTTTAATAAATCCACGCCTCAGTTGGCCCTTGAAAAATATTCTTTAATAAATCCACGCCTCAGTTGGCCCTTGAAAAATATTCTTTAATAAATCCACGCCTCAGTTGGCCCTTGAAAAATATTCTTTAATAAATCCACGCCTCAGTTGGCCCTTGAAAAATATTCTTTAATAAATCCACGCCTCAGTTGGCCCTTGAAAAATATTCTTTAATAAATCCACGCCTCAGTTGGCCCTTGAAAAATATTCTTTAATAAATCCACGCCTCAGTTGGCCCTTGAAAAATATTCTTTAATAAATCCACGCCTCAGTTGGCCTTAAAAAAATATTCTTTAATAAATCCACGCCTCAGTTGGCCCTTGAAAAATATTCTTTAATAAATCCACGCCTCAGTTGGCCCTTGAAAAATATTCTTTAATAAATCCACGCCTCAGTTGGCCCTTGAAAAATATTCTTTAATAAATCCACGCCTCAGTTGGCCCTTGAAAAATATTCTTTAATAAATCCACGCCTCAGTTGGCCCTTGAAAAATATTCTTTAATAAATCCACGCCTCAGTTGGCCCTTGAAAAATATTCTTTAATAAATCCACGCCTCAGTTGGCCCTTGAAAAATATTCTTTAATAAATCCACGCCTCAGTTGGCCCTTGAAAAATATTCTTTAATAAATCCACGCCTCAGTTGGCCCTTGAAAAATATTCTTTAATAAATCCACGCCTCAGTTGGCCCTTGAAAAATATTCTTTAATAAATCCACGCCTCAGTTGGCCCTTGAAAAATATTCTTTAATAAATCCACGCCTCAGTTGGCCCTTGAAAAATATTCTTTAATAAATCCACGCCTCAGTTGGCCCTTGAAAAATATTCTTTAATAAATCCACGCCTCAGTTGGCCCTTGAAAAATATTCTTTAATAAATCCACGCCTCAGTTGGCCCTTGAAAAATATTCTTTAATAAATCCACAGTCGACCCCTCAGTTGGCCCTTGAAAAATATTCTTTAATAAATCCACGCCTCAGTTGGCCCTTGAAAAATATTCTTTAATAAATCCACGCCTCAGTTGGCCCTTGAAAAATATTCTTTAATAAATCCACGCCTCAGTTGGCCCTTGAAAAATATTCTTTAATAAATCCACGCCTCAGTTGGCCCTTGAAAAATATTCTTTAATAAATCCACGCCTCAGTTGGCCCTTGAAAAATATTCTTTAATAAATCCACGCCTCAGTTGGCCCTTGAAAAATATTCTTTAATAAATCCACGCCTCAGTTGGCCCTTGAAAATAATATAATAAATCCACGCCTCAGTTGGCCCTGAAAAATATTCTTTAATAAATACACGCCTCAGTTGGCCCTTGAAAAATATTCTTTTAAATCCATAAAATCCACGCCTCAGTTGGCCCTTGAAAAATATTCTTTAATAAAGCCAGTTGGCCCTTGAAAAATATTCTTTAATAAATCCACGCCTCAGTTGGCCCTTGAAAAATATTCTTTAATAAATCCACGCCTCAGTTGGCCCTTGAAAAATATTCTTTAATAAATCCACGCCTCAGTTGGCCCTTGAAAAATATTCTTGAAAAATAATAAATCCACGCCTCAGTTGGCCCTTGAAAAATATTCTTTAATAAATCCACGCCTCAGTTGGCCCTTGAAAAATATTCTTTAATAAATCCACGCCTCAGTTGGCCCTTGAAAAAT